GGGGGGGGGGGGGGGGGGGGGGGGGGGGGGGGGGGGGGGGGGTCCACTTGTGCGAGCGCTATCACTAGGCCGCCTTTCCCTTCTACAGTAGCGCCCGCCATTCCACCGGTGAAGGGCAGGGTTAAAGTCAACCAGAGAGGTGCTGTTTCCACCCTTCTCCTTTCCCGTGGTCGAATGCTAGATAGCGCAGGGAGATGATTCGGCAACAGAGAATCGGAGCGAACGAGAGAGAACGAGAGAAAGAGGGGAACCGGTATACACAGGGAGAGAGCGGGAGTGTCCACGGCCACCTTATAAACTGCTTGCGAGAAAAGCGAAGAGTAGAAGACATGAAACCATCACCGCCGCCGCCACAACATTAACAACCGCAAGCACAAACACCAACACCAACGTGTTATCACGGGCAACAAGCTTGAAAATATACGATCAAAGAAAAGGTGACAACAACATCGACGACGACGACGACGACGACGACGATGACAGCCAAGACAGCAATAACAAACAACGCGAGGGGTCAGCAAATCCTGCCCCTTCCAAAATGATCAAAGCAGAACCAACAACACGGGACTGAAGATCCCATAGCTCTCACAGTGGTTCTGACAGGAACGGTCATGCGAGCCTTCTCCTCGATGAGGCTCTTGAAAGCCTTCGTCTCCCTGTCCAGTGACGTCAGGTACCTGCAACATTCCCAAAACATCGTATGCAAAGGAAGGCCCTGGGGCACCCGTGTTGCAAGTCCCCATAGACCTCGATTCTGCTATATTATCACGATAAGGCATAGATCACGCGGGGCCCCTGCAGCGGCCAGATCCCCGTGGGACAGGCCGTTATTGGTCAACAACTCCGGCTGTTCTGCCGATCCACCATGTTGCCAACTTTGTAAAGCAGCCGTAGGCATTTCTCTACAGCGTGGTGCCATAAACAGTTTGGATGGGATCGTTCATTTTTGATAGGACGGCATCTGCCAGGTCCAGAGCGAAGCCAGGGCGAACCAAATGAATCTGCGTGTAGAAAAACAACATGCTTGAGGTACCCTGCAGGTTTTACGGCACGTAGCCATCTGTATGACGAGCACCAGCGGTGAAAAAGGCGTACACCCGACGATGTAACAGGGCAACCCACCATGGAGGCTCACGCGGGGTTCCATCGATTGTCGCGGAGCCCCGTGGTCACTGTTTTTCTGCTTTTTGTGGAACGTGCAACACGGCTGGGGTCTTCGAACAGAAGGACGACACTTACTGCGTTGATAGGTGAAGAAATCTATTATAGCAACTAGGCAGGGCATATGACATCTTGCGTCCAAACCAAAGGTACCACGCCCCATCCGTCGAAACCACCTTTCAAACCAAAGGTACCACCTTTCATGGGACTCGCCGAATACCTCACGGCGCTTCGCGCTTGGTGACGTGAGAGCCTGGTCCGGTGAGAACCCAGCGTGCTCCGTCCCGGCTTCGTAGAGATGCGAGGTCAATGGTCTAAAGACTACGGCAAGCACGACTATGAGTACACCCCCCCACACACCTGCTCGTACAGCATGTACAGAACAAGCACCTTTCAGACGCCCCTCTCCACGGCAATACATCGGAATATTTCAAGTGTGCACACCTTAATCAAAAGACCAAGTCCCCCTTCCTGTACCTTTGCTCCTACACGCTTTTCATTCCTCGCTACAACACGTCAAACGTGTACAGATGCCAAAACCAAATAAGCTTCCCCCCCTTTCATTTTTTACCTTTGCTCCTCCACGCTCTGCTCGTACAGCATAAAGTACACCACGAGAGGGGGACGGTCGAGCGTCCTCCCTGCCTGGTAGGCCTCCAGGGTTCGAACGAACGCTGCGTCTGGGTCGTACAAAACCACAAAGTCCGGCTCTAGGTCCTGGAGAATGTTGAGGCTTTCCCGAGCCTGGTCGAAAAGAAAGAAAAAAAAGGGGGGAAAATCAAACATGCAAAGACAAAAAACATAAGACATGACACACAGCGAACACAGCGAAACAGCAAACATCATACGTCGCCAAACGGTTCGAAAAAAAAATTGGACAGAAAAGACAGAATAAAAACACATGATACATGACCACATCGTTAACGACAACAAAGATCATTGAAACGGTGGTTCGCCAGACCCTACTGTCCACACGCTCTGCGGGTTTGCCGCCAAAATGCTCTCCTCCTGCCTCCACGCTCTAACCTAGTTGTGATGGCCATCGAATGCGTGTCACGGGAGGGGGAATACCAATGGACCGACAAGGAAGTTTGTGACAGATTCCTGCCACCTCAACCACATTGAACACGCTGGCGATAGGTCCCGCCATCCTCATCCTGCTCTCCTGCGCCGCAGTTGCGTCCTCCAATTGAAGTTTTCTACTCAATGCTCCCTGTGTGCTACCCCACCGCCCGTATCGTAAGCGTCGTTATCGTGGTGAGTCCTTTCCTGCCCCAAGCAGACGTACATCATAGACTGACCGCCTTATCCCCCTTGTCCAACGAGATCACGAACTTCTCCGCTCCACGCGGCACTCCCGCATACCTCGGCACTCTCACACACTACGGCACTCCCGCATGCCACGGCACCCGCGCTTCTCGCGGCAACCCCTCATAATATGACAACCCCGCATACCATGGTACCCCTCCACACCGTGGCACTCACGCATACCACCGCATTTCTCATACCACGGCACCCTCTCCGCCATGATTGAAACATGAGCACACCCGGACTTGTCTTGTCTTGTCTCCTCTTCACACCTGAGCGAATGAGAAAACCACCGCGTGGAGAGAGGGTAACGGCTCGAACACCAGGTCCTCTCCTCCTCCTCCTCCTCCTCCTCCTCCCCCCGATGCACAGCCCCCGGCCCCACCCTCTCCTGTTCTTGCCGCTGAGGATGGGCCTGAGGCATTGCCGACCCCTCTTGCCGATCTCCCCCCTCTCCCGCTCCCGCCTCTGCTGCCCCTTCCTCGTGAAACCCCTCCTCTGCCAGCAGATGCTTTCCTTCCCTCCGAGGACGACGATGAGCCTCTCCCCCCCCACCCACCCACACCGTCTTCTTCCCGTCCTCCTCCTCCTCCTCCTCCTCCTCCTCCCCGCTCCTCCGGTACCGATGCTTCGTTATCGCTCTGTCCCCCATCCCGTTCCCTGCTGCGCTTCTTCCCTGTACCGACCTTTCGCCGCCTACTTTCACCGGCGTGACCTGAAAAAAATTAAGGCACAATTTACGGAAGGCGGGAAAAAACAACCAAACCGCTGCGGAATGCCACCAGAGTACGGCGGAAAAACAACAAAACAATCGCGATAGTGTGGATTTTTCTGGGCCGTCTTGATTTCGTGTCTCTCGTTGGCTTTTCGTTCTTACCTTACCGACCACTCGCAGCAAGTTTTCGCCCGCGTGGCGCGAAAAAAAATAAACACCACATCTGCAAAAAACTTCGACTATCCACACAGCCCTCTTTTTTCGTTACATCAACACAAGGAATTAATTTGTTGCCTTTGAAACGAGTCCAGCAAAATAAATGGAACGTTTAGTTGAAGGCGCCTGTAGACGGAAAACAACCCGTCTTTCACTGAAGCACTGCTGCGTAATGCAAATAAGGTACTGAGCAGAGACCGAAACGGTTTATGATGCGACGAAAACAACAACAAAAATAACAAGCAATCATGTTCTTCGTTCGATGATTGCGTTACCTCTAGTGGGGCCTTCTCGCCAAACGTCTACACAACACGCCTGCCCTTTGTGCTCGACCGCCCAGTTTTCATCGTCATCGTTTCCGGGCGGTTTGTTTCGAAGACGGGGAAGGGGGGGGACGCACCGCTGCCATCCCCTCGTGAAGGGGACGCCTCCCCGTCCTCCCCGTCGTCACCATCACCGGTCAGGTCGACGCTGCCACCCCCCTTCTCGACTGCAGTTCCTGTCGATGCCGCTGCCGCCGCTGCGGCCTGTATTTGCTGTAGCTTCTTCTTCTTCTTCTGCTGCTGCTGCTGCTGCTGCTGCTGCTGCTTCAGCACATCGGCAACGACTTGTTCCGCCTCCAGCCGTTCTCTCTGCGAGACGACCGCAGGTTCAACACCAGAACGACAGTCAGAACCACAGAACCTACAGCGCCGGGCCATCGGTTTATGCTCAAAAATATAGATGTTCTCTACAAACTAAGGCTCACAGGTGTGCGAAGCGAGCAGGATCGGAACCAGAACAAAGCCTCCTAACCAAGCCTACCACTTGTGTTCCCAACACAGTAGTGCCGCCCGTGCTCAAAAGAAACACGTTCACGGGAGCCCGAGGCTCAGAAATTTGGGAAGAAATAAACTGGGAAACAAGATGGGCTCGGTGGCCGGCATCACACTGCATCCTACCACACGGTGATACCTCACCAACAGCAGCCTGTGCTCAATCGTCGAGAGTCTGCTGTCAGGCTTGCTAAAAAGACGTGCTGTATCTTGCTGGCGGGCCGGCGCTCTCCCGTGTGCGTGTAAGGCCTTTCCTGCGTGCATCGTGCAATGCTACTATATCTCCGGAAGAAAGCAGTCCCGTAGCCGAACTCAACCCATTTAGACCATTACAGTCAGCGCTGACTAGGTTAATGGTTATATTGCGCCAACGAAAACGGTAACAAAAAAACAACTACCCTCTCACCAATTCATTCAACAGCGACCGCTCCAAGCTGAGCTTCGTCCCCTTCGTTGTTCCCTCCCCGCCTCTTCTTCCTCCCACCGTAGTAGAGGATGAAGAATGACGAAAAGCAGGGGAAGCGCCGACGCCAACCCCGCTCATTCCGCCGCGTTTTGGTTTCTCACCCCATCTCCCGACAGACTCACCGCCTGGACAACACGTACCCCCCCCCCCCCCCCCCGGAGCGCGCACACATCGACATTCGGAGCCGAATCACGTAAGCTCAACAAAACACGAGCTCTGATTCATCAAAGGCAAAAAAACATGGTAAATCTATGTAGTGGCCTTCGGAAAACCTGTTTAAGGCCAAGACATGCATGCGTCACGACTAGCGTGGGGTGCAGTCATCGTGGAATGTGATCGGCGTTCATCTCTGATTGACCTAATAAAAGAAGCAAAAAGCAACCGCAACCTGGTTGTCGAGCTCACCAAGCAATCAGCGTGTTTTGCAACCTCGTTGCCAGGCGGCGAAAAACCACGAGGGGGGGGGGGTTAGCTGTGCTTCCATTGTTGGTGCGGCCTTATGCCACGGACCTATGCAGTGCCACCGACGTCCTCCCTTCCTATCACCGTGGCAAAGAAGGTGCATTGTTATGCTATTGCAACTCTGAAGCCTACTGGTGTACAAAAAACACCTCAACCGAGCCGGATTAAGCGCACAAAACCGGG